CAATCCAATCTAATATAAATCTTATTTTTGAACTAATTGCTTAACTCTTACAAACACCTTAATCAAAAAAATGGTTTTACATATTATAATACTTTACCTAATAATTTTTGCATTTTAGATCTTAATTTTTGTCATGGTTATAAATAACTTTATTGTAAAATAAAATTCTAAGTTAAATATGTAATTCTCAGTCTCGATTATTGGTTATTAAATTGTATTTTGAATACGTTTATTTATTATGCACCTTGCATCTGGTATTGAGAAATAAGTTAACCTGATTAGATAATCATAACAAACAGTACCTACCCACATTACCGACAGAAATCGCTTCAATTGAACTATTGTCACGTACCAGTTCATGCAATATTATAATTAGTTACAATTAATCCCATCAAGATATGTCCATACACAATATTACCTACATTTGTGTTGTCTTTAGGTAAATTTTTAAAACAAATAATTATTTAATCCTTTCTTTTTTTTAATTATATCCGTCATAAAAAGTACATTATTGATTTAGAACACATTACAAATTGTACAAGGAATTTGGATCACTGTAAACAATTACAGCTCCGCTATCAACTCTCTCAGGTAATTACTTAATTTGCCGCGGTCTAACTTTTGTGTCTGATGAAAGAGAACATTTAACAACTAAATCCAAAATTAATGTTCTCAGAGGGAAAGCTTCGAGCAGAACCTTAACAAATTAAATATACAACATTTCCTTCTTTAAAGTTCCCGAAACATTATTCTGATATTATATATATATATATATATATATATATATATATATATATATATATATATATATATATATATATAACATTTATCTGTAATATTACTAGCTTGAAGTTTTTTCTTAATTTTCTCATCTTTTGATTTGAATTTAAAATTTAACTACAATTTTTAACACACCTAATTTGGCTACTTTTTGAGTAAAATGTCCAAATAAACTAGGCATTTATAATTTAATATTTTATAAAAAAAATTGAGTTTTTTTTTTATATTGTAAGAGAAATATAAATAGCTTACGAGAATAATATAACAATCCCGTCATTTTATAACGATCAAATTCTCTAGAAAAATTTCAAATTGTCAAAGAGGATTCAAGTATCCTATCTTACTCTACACACCCAAGAGAGGTGATTCTTTTATAAAATTGCAACACAGAATATAAGAATTTCAAAAATAACGTCATACTTTTGTTTACTAACTACTGTAAAAGTTTAGTAAATTAGTAATAGCAGGCATTTGATTAGAGAGATTAATAAAATGTTCATTATTGTATGTAATAGTTTTATCTAATATTTTGAAAGTAAACAATATTCTAGCAATATTTGTCACTCAATTTGATTATAATTCATTCTATGTTACTAATATTGTTATATTTCATCTAATCTATCGTCGTCGCCCATAGAGAATTAATTAATTTGTAATCAGGTTGTAGGGAAAGTGTATTTGTGCTCAGAATTTTATGAAATTCATCTCGTTTAAATATCTCAATTTTTTCGAGAGGAGCTTTGATCAAAACTTTTTAGTTGTGTTTTCTTCTGAAGATAATTAAACTCTTGAAAACTGTTAACGACTGCTACAGTATATATAAAATTTAATTAGCTGTCATATTGGAAAACATTGACATATGTGTAGGTGTTATACTATAATACTTCTTTATAGCATCCTAATACTTTGGGGGGTTGATTTATATTATTCTTCATATAACATGTTACAAAATGTCATCTCCTCAAATTCATTTATGTTTTTAATATTTCATGATTTGTTATAATAAAAAATAATAATTATTAGCTCAGAAAAAAAACTATGGAAACATAATCTAAATGTCAGTTATTTATAAAATACTTATGAAATAACTTATAATAAAATAGCACTTTTCTCTTTTTTGCTATTAAACAAGTAAATAATATAATATTTTCAGTGTTTTTAGTGTCTGTTTCATTCATCTCGTCTTACTGTGGTCAAACAATAAAAATATGTAAAAGAAAATACAGGCATTTCAAGAATACGGTCTTCATAAATCTTTATGTCATTGAAACTATTATTTTTATTTTGACTTAAAATTTCATATATTCTGTTTATCCATTATTTAGGTATCAATTATTTACTTACATTGTGTGAGTGAACAAGTTTGAGTCTTCCAGCCTTTATGTTTTGCAATTCCGCAGAATCATTGAGCATCTTATTGCTATATTTTCATTAAATGTTTTATAACACAATCTATCAACAACTTTAGATATATAAATTAATTACTTTTTTATAGGTATTATCGCTTGTTTTTACTTTCATTCAATAAAATAGTAAAAATTTGTCCTACTTTGAAAAGTGTTTTAGAAAAGAATTACAATTTAGCACAAGGTTTTATCAAAAAAGGCACTTTATGTACTAACTGTGATATTTTTACTAAAAATAAAATGCGATTAAATATATTTACACTCGTTTTGAATTTAAAAGATATTTATTTTCAAATTTCAGCTTAGAATTTTTATTTAAACAGACCCTTTTCATTTCATCGGGATACTAAAATGTACACACGTGTTTTTAAATTTGTTTGTAATTATGATACGACTGAATTGTCCTTAACAAATACTGAAATTTATTAATACATGTGTCAAGATATTCAAATAAGTTTCCTTTTTTATCTTTGTTTTTTATTTTTATTTTTTCCACTTCTGTCATCGTAACGAGCTTCATATACTTTATATTTCACTCTAAAAATTTAAAATGTAAATTCAATTAACATTTAAAATCATCTTGCCTACCTAACATATCTTTTCTAAATACAGTAAGGCACTAGAAAAAAATGAGAACTCTCAAAAAGCGAAACTCACAATTTGACTGAGTTAAACAAATGAATAAACTAACACTCCCAGCTTCTAGTGTCCATTCTAAAACTTTGCTTTTATAACTCTTTATCATATTTCAGTGAAAGATAAATGCAACTCTTTTCAAGCTTTAAAAATATAAATGTATTTACATATTAGATAAGTAACAAAGTTGCTTTTGTACACCTCATGTTGCGGTACTATGTTCTGGCTTTTAAATAAAAATGTTTGAAACTTTGCACTATTGATTAACCGCAAAGTGGTCTTTATCTCTCTTACGTTGCAGTGAAAGGTGAAAATCTTTTGAAGTCTTAAAATAGTGACTCGATATTTTACATATTTTATTAACAGCTTCAAACCTTCTTTAAAACTTGTGTATTTAATGTTTTACTTTAACCAATATAATAAATTGATCACATCATTATTTTTATCGATAATTATTAATAACATTTAATCGATATATATTAATAAAGTTACTTTTAAGTTCAAGATTTCCTTTTCCCTCTGGACTTAAATAACAACATGAATCATGAACCATGATAAATGAAAAATCTTTAGACGTATTGATATAACATAGAGTAAATATTGCAAAAAAAATGTAGGTTATGACAAACAAAACTATTGAAAATCCTAAGTTAAAAAAACGTTGATAAATGTCTGTATTTTTCATACATTTCCTTAGTTATAATTCATTAATACGTTATTTAGTATGGGGGAACAACTGAACTGAGTTCTGGCCTGCGGTTACATAATGAGCACCTAGTTATGTGGTTTCCTTTATAAAGACATATTCATAAAATATGTCAAATTGAAAATGATTTATATTTCTGGGTATGAAAGTTTTTTCTTCATTCATTTATTTCTTATATCCAAGGTGGCAAAGGAGCAGACGGCCTTCATGATGGAAGGCAGTCTCTTCCCCTAGTGGCATCTGCAACATACGAGATGTTACAGATGAGCTACAGACCTTGTTTATAGAAGAAGGAGAAGATAGGGTGGGAAAAGGTTGGGAACAGGGAAAGAGCAACCGTCTCTCACTTATGGGACGAAACACACACTTCCATTAAAGGCTACTTCACGCCGATCTTTTGTGACAGGGTGGTCATTTCCCGATTGTGCCAGCCCATGTTCGAATTGAAGTTCCATGACCACAGCTAGGTTTTAAACGCTAATCTGCAAAGGTTACACCTTACCAGGTTTAGATAGCGTTCAATGTGCAGATTCACTATATATTTCAATCAATAGTCACTTCACATCTTAAAGACTTAAATTACGTAGATGTAGGATACATCTACGTAATTTAAGCCTTTAAGATTTTGAAACTGTGATTTTATAAAATGATTTTATAAAATGATTTTATAAAATTGTGATTATCACATCATTTGATGTATTAGACATATAAATAAAAAAGACTTTAAACTTATATATATTAGTTCTTTAAGACTTGTAAAGAAACTACTTTTGAATATTATACATGAAAAAAATAATTTTCATCACATAGTTTTAACAAAAAGCGTTAAAATTATATGTATGTTTCCTTCGAGAGTAATACTTATTATTTTAAATTCATTTCTCATAACATTATAAAATTGTTATGAAGAATAAAAAGAATTACCCTTAAATGTGTTATTTTCAGTATGTATTTGCATGGTTTAAAAATTATTGATATGTGATTATTTTTAATTTTAAACAAATTTTCTTGCAACATATCGAATCCAAAAAAAGTATTTGTTCATGAAAAAGTGAAATTTCGTAATGTTGGAATGAAGACCACAAGTGGTAGTAATTGATTTATAAATAATTGTAAGTGTTTCTTAAAAACAAACTTTATAAACGTTGTCTATATTTCATAAATGACCAGTGACCCACTCTCGCTCCGTCCCTTTATTTTCCCCCTCCCCAGCAGCGTTAAACGTTTAACGCAACCTTGATGGAAGTCACATAAGAAGTTTCACTTTAATGAACCATTTCATAACATATAGTTAGTAAGTTTTTATACGTACCTTGATTTCATATTAATAGCAAAAAGCTTAACACATTCTAATATATGATCATTTTTATATTCAAATATCCCCAATAATAATCCCTATTTCTCTGTTTTACTTCACTAATATTTTATAAATACATTTACTAACTATCAAATCAAACAAATTATATTGTATAATGGAAATAAATTCACTTATAATTCCAGAGAAACCTCTACTCATGCTGCAGAGCATCAAATGCGCATGGAGACTCGACCCATCACATGAACACCTTCACGATTGTCTGCTACGCTTTAGGAGTTGGTTGGATGAGAAATACGACTCATTAGTACAGAGTGTAGCCTCTGTTATAGATACTGAGATGCAACCGGTGAGAATTACATATTTATATACATCTATAGAAAATATCATGATTTGAATAACAATCTACCTTATTATAGTGCGTTTGATTTAAGCTGAGCTTTGCATTTGTGTGAGTGAAAGTACAAGTAGAGTTAGACAAAAAAGTTTCAGAATTAAATTTTATTATATTTTAAATATATACATAACATAAGTGCTATAAAATAAATAAAACTTGTAAAAGGCCAGATGGAAATATTATGAATATTATGGAAAAAAAATTATTGATTAATAGATATTTTATATATGGGTAATATTTCGTAGTAAATAGTTATACTTGTGCAGATATTTAGAATTTACTATTATGTAGGTGAGGTTGGGAAATAAGATTGAAATTTAAGATGATTATTTCGTTTTTAGTTTCTGTCTTCCAACATTGTTTTTATTTATTTTCTTAAAGATAAATTTACAATATCTTATTTTTAAACCAATAGTTTAATTCTTAATTCTTTTGCATTTTTTAGATCTCAGTTTTTGTAAGGAGTAAGAATAAAAATTGGAGTTAAATGTGACATTTATGTATGTTTTTTTCAGTTTCGATGGTTAGCTTAAATTTAAAATAGATTTTGGATAATTTATTATGCACATGCATCTGTTATTGATAAATAAGTAAACCTAGTTAGTTAATCATAACAAACAGTAGCTACCCACATTACAGGCAGAAATCGCTTCAATTGCACTATTGTCACGTGCCGGCTCATACAATATTATAATTAATTACAATTAATCTTTTCAAGATGTACCACATACAATATTATCTACATTTGTGTTATCTTCATGTATTTTTTTTAAAACAAATTATAATTTAATCCTTTTTTTTATTACAAACCATTATAAAATGTACATTATTGATTTAGAACACATTGCAAATGGTACAAGGAATTTGGATCACTGTAAACAATTACAGCTCCACTATCAACTCTCTCAGGTAATTAATTTGCCGAGGTCTAACTTTTGTGTCTGATGAAAGAGAACATTAAACAACGAAATCCAAAATTAATGTTCTCAGAGGGAAAGCTGCGAGCAGAACTTTAACAAATTAAGCATACAACATCTCCTTCTTCAAAATTACTGAAATATTATTCTGATATTATTCTATATACTCGTATAATATTTCTCTGTGTTATTACTAGCTTGAAGTTTTTTTCTTAAATTTCTATATCAGATGAAAAAAAAAGAATATTACACTTAAATCCATTTTTTGAGTTGCATTTATAATTTTACTAGATTTTTTAAATTTATGTTTTATAAAAATATTTGAGTATTCGAGTTTTTTCAAATGTAACAGAAATATAAAAATCTTACAAGAATAAAATAACAATCCTGTCATTTTATAACGATCAAATTCTCTAGAAAAATATCAAATTGTCAAAGAGGATTCAAATATCCTATCTTAGTCTACACACCCAAGAGAGGTGATTCTGTTATAAAATTGCAACAAAGAATATAAGAATTTCAAAAATAACTTCATACTATTTGTTTATTAACTAATGCAAAAAGTTTTATTAAATCAGTATTAGAGTTAATAATAATTTTTTCACCTTTATATGTAAGAGATTTATCTAATACTTGACACAATATTTCTCACTTGCTCAATTTGATTGTAATTCATTCTATGTTACTAACATTGTTATATGTATTTCACCTAATCTATCGTCGTCGCCTATAGAGAGGTAATTAATTTTATTCATCCTAACACTGGAAGGTTCCTACTACTGTTTATTATTTTTACAAATCCTATCGTCTCATATTTTATTTTATTTTTATATTTCATGACTCGTTATTATATAAATCTCATTTGTTATGAAAAGAAATGAAGTTAGAAACATAATCTAAATTTCAGCTATTTATAAAATACGGCACTTTTCTCTTCTTTGTCATTAAACAAGCAAATGTATAGTAAATAATATAATATTTTCGGTGTTAATTTTAGTATCTGGGTCATTAATCTCGTCTTCCAGTGATCAAAGTGTAGAGTGACTGAAATATCAGAATAAAAATATTAAATTAAAACATATATGTACATGTCAACAATACGGTCTTATTAAATTTATTTATAGCCTCGAAAATGTACATATATGTCATTAAAACTATTATTTTTAGTTTGACTCAAAATGCCAAATATTTTGTTTGTAATAGGTATCATTTATTTACTTACATAGAGTGAGTGAACAAGTTTGAGCCTTTTTGTTTTGGAATTCCATAGAATCATTGAGAATTATATTGCGTTATTTTCATGAAATATCGTATAACATAATGTATCAACAACAGTAGGTGTAAAAATTATTAACGTTTTGGATAGGTATCATCTCTTCTTCCAACTTTAAGGCAATAAAATAGTAAAAATGTATCCTATTTTGAAATGTGCTTTAGAAAAGAATTACAATTTAGCACAAGGTTTTATAAAAACGGCACTTGATGTGCTAACTGTGATATTTTGATTTTATATAAAATAACATGTGATTAAATAAATTTACACTCGTTTTTGAATTTAATAGATATTTATTTCCAATTTTCAGCTTATAATTTTTATTCAAACAGAAACTTTTCATTTCATCGGAATACTAAAATGTACTTACATGTTTTTAAATTTATTTGTAATTATGATGCTACTGAATTGTCCTTAACAAATATTATTATTATTTATTTTTACAAATCCATATGTAAAGATATTGAAATAGGTTTCCTTTTTTATCTCTTTTTTATTATTATTATTTCCACTTCTGTCAGCGTAACGAGTTTCATATTCTTAATATCTTATTCTAAATATTTAAAATCTAAGCTCAATTAATATTTAAAATCATCCTGCCTACCTAACATATCTTTTTCTAAATACAATAAAGCACTAGAAAAAAATGAGAACTCTCAAAAAGCGGAACTCACAATTTGACCCAGTTAAACAAATGAATAAACTAACACTCCCAGCTTCTAGTGTCCATCCTAAAACTTTCAAAGCGACAACCACAAAGTTGCTTTTATAACTCTTTATCATATTTCAGTGAAAGATAAATGCAACTCTTTTCAAGCTTTAAAAATATAAATGTATTTACATATTAGATAAGTAACAAAGTTGCTTTTGTACACCTCATGTTGTGGTACTAACTTCTGGCTTTTAAAATAAAAATGTTTGAAACTTTGCACTATTGATTAACCGCAAAGTGGTCTTTATCTCTCTTACGTTGCAGTGAAAGGTGAAAATCTTTTTGGAGTCTTAAAATAGAGACTCAATATTTTTACATATTTTATTAACAGCCTCAAACCTTCTTTAATACTTGTATATTTAATGTTTTACTTTAACCAATATAACAAATAAATCACATCATTATTTTTATTGATTATTTTAATAACATTTAATCGATATACATATATTAATAAAGTTAGTTTTAATTTTAAGATTTCTTTTTCGCTCTGGACTTTAATAACAATATAAATCATGAACCATGATAAATGAAAAATCTTTAGACGTATTGATATAACATAGAGTAAATATTGCAAAAAAATGTAGGTTAAGACAAACAAAATTATTGAAAATCGTATGTAAAAAAACCTTGGTAAATGTCTGTATTTTTCATATATTTCCTTAGTTATAATTCATTAATGCGTTATTTAGTATGGGCGAACAACTGAACTGAGTTCTGGCCTGCGGTTACATAATGAGGACCCAGTTATGTGGTTTCCTTTATAAAGACATATTCATAAAATATGTCAAATTTTAAATTGCTTTATATTTCTGGATATGAAAATTTTTCTTTATTCATTTATTTTTTATATCAAAGGTCGTAAAGAAGCAGACGGCCTTCTTGATAGAAGGTCACCTTTATCAGATGCCACTCATCTGCAATATACGGGATGTTACAGATGAGCTACCGACTTGATTATAGAAGAGGGAGAGGAATGGGTAGGAAAAGGTTGGGAACAGGGAAAGGGCTCACTTATGGGACGAAACACACACGTCCATTAAAGACTACTTCACGTCGATCTTTTGTGAGAGGGTGGTCATTTCCCGATTACGCCAGCCCATGTTCGAGTTGAAGTTGCATGACCACAGCTAGGTTTTAAACGCTAATCTGCAAAGGTGGTAACCTTAAGGTTGCAAAGTTGTCTATAAAGTTGTGATTATCACAGCATTTTATATAATAGACATATAAATAAAAGGCTTTCAACTTATACCTATTAGTTCTTCAAGACTTGTAAAGAAACTTGTTTTGAATATTATACATGAAAATAATGATATTCATCACGCAGTTTTAACAAAAAGCGTTAAAATGATATGTATGTTTCCTTCGAGAGTTACTTAGCATTATATAAATTTTAAATGCTAAGTATTGCTAAGCATTTAAAATTTATTTCTTATAACATTCTAAAATTGTTATGAAAAATAAAAAGAATTACCCTTAAATGTATTATTTTTAGTTCAATATAATAATAATAACACCAATATCTTCATTTGGTTAGATAAATTTGTTATTGTGTACATTGAAATAAAATTAGGGAATTTTCGCTAAGATTTTTGCTAGTACACATTTAAATAAAACCATGTTATCTAGATTTATAAAGAAATGCGCTTATGCTAGATTTTATTTCAAAGAGCTACTTTCACCTAGCCTTGCCTAATCGCTGTTCCACAACAGTCGAAACGTTATGTAGTTACATGTTATATAATAAAATCAAGTAGTAAATCCGAAAAATATAGTTTTATCTTTTTTATACGCTATTGAATAACATTGTTCTAATATTGATTATAAAACATAATTCTGGCCATGAACGAGTTTGTTACATTTTTATATTTATTGTTTTCAGGCAAAATATAAATAATAATACATTAAGTATTTCCAGATACATATAAATTTAAATCTTAAATTATTTATGTCATTTACTTGCGTAGCTTCTTTTATATGTAAATGACTCAAGTTTGATCTAAAGTAAAACAGACATAGTACACAAAATCCGACTGTTTAAAAATTTAAAGGAACCTAAAACTTCGTTCTCATTTGCACGAGCAAGTATTCTGAAGCGATACGTCTTGTTCATCTGGAAGTTTTTTCATCCATTATTAATAAATTAGACAATATATTGATGATCGAGAATATAATTTAACATTATGTACTTTGCATTACACATGTAAACTTGATACACTTTCTTGAATTAATATTTTAAAGTAAAAAGTTTTGTTAAGTTGCACTCAGAATGGTAAATACAGACTTATTAAGTAAATTTTCCGTATGTTACATTGTCAATCGTTGCTGAACGTAAGAAAAATCAGTGCAAAAGTAGTTCTTTTAACTATTAAAAGTACATTTACGTATACAACATCATATTCTTCAACCATGTGTCATATTCCACTTAGGTAAAAATGATTTCGGTGCTAAATTTGCAAAAAAATCACTATATTTTTTGCAATTGCTTGCTTCAAAATTAATTTATACTGAATTGAAAAATTTTGATTAAGGTGAACCCTTGATGATTGTATATGGAAATTTTCCTTGTGATACTTTGTTAAAAAACGCTTAAAATAAAAAAAAAATCACTGCAAAAGTAGCTACTTATAGCCT